CAATATTTTCACTGAAAAGGTGAATCACTGAACTTTTCTCGAATTTTCTCGGCTGAGAATGAATTTTTCAGATCTTTTTATTGTTATGGCTTTGGTATACATTGTTGGCAATAATCTCATTTGGAAGCATTATGTCCTGGATTTTCTCTTCACTGCCATTTGAGCAACGAAGAAGGTATGGTTTACTTCTGGTACATATGTATCCATGTATGACTAAAGGTATGATTAAAGGTAAGTGACTAAAGGTATGATTTTCAGTGGCTCTTGGGCAATTAAGCTTTTATTCAAAAACCGAAACATAAAATTGGTGGGTATAGTTGAAACATCGGAAAATCTTCTCGAATGAAAGAATATTTAATATTTGCTCGTAATAAAAATATTCGAACGAATGGATGTTATTCGAATCGGCATGAATATATTCAGATTTGAATATTTGAATAGTGATATGTTGTATTTTCGACTATTCAAATTATCGAAAAATTAAACATGATCTAAATTCGAATATGTGAATAGAATTGGTGCGTTTTGTCGAATACTCGACTACTCGAATGGTAAATGATCGAATCATTCGAGTATTTCAGTCAAACATAATCATGCAGCCTCAATATATCCGATGATTTTGCAGATATTCTATCGAACAAATATTCGATGTCTTCGCAGACTTTGAATGATCGAATGTTGTTCGAATCTCAGTTTTAAAACCATTCAAACTCGAATATTCGAGTGCCGATGTTCTAAAATATACAATTATTCGAATAATAAAATAAGTCGTTTTTTCGAGTATTCGACCATTCCGAAATCGAATAAATGCGCTTTATCAAATATTCGAATTTCTAATATTCGAAATCTTCAAATATTTTATTCGTACAAATATTCTCAACTATACTAGTGAGTAATTTGGCGTATCTATTGCTGCCGGGTGATAGTACAGTACAAACACATAATTTCTAGGACAATCACTCAAAGTTTTAGGATTTCAGAGATGAGAAACCACATAACGATTAAACAATTTTTGTTGATCATCCATCTAGTAAAGTTACAAAGTATCTGTTCATTTCTGTTTCCGCGAATTACTCAAAATCCTCCTTTTACCGTTTCTATCTCTAGATTCATTGCTCGACGATTAGAACTAGCAGATGTCACCTTTAAACAGCGAGATTTCACACTTGAATTAGACGAAGTAAGTTCTTTCCATTCATTTACTTAATCCAAACTTAAAGCGCATTACTTTAGTTCGTTCGCGATTATGTCAAAATGGACGGAGTTTTTGTGCTGCG